ATCTTTTGACTCCCATCTATCCAATTCACCAATCAAGTTACTCATTCTACTTTTCCTTTCTGATGTTTGCAATGTACTGTGAAATGGATCCAAAAAGTAAGACAGATTAGTGGGTGGATGGATAGTGGGGTGATTAGATAGGTAGATATGTGATAAAGATAGATATATGTGATAGTAAAATGTTAATGTTAGAATCTAGATGGTGTATGTAGGTATTGACTGTAAAATTCTATGCTGTGTTTGAAATTTTAAAAATTAAAATGTTTGGGGAAAAAGAACATGGGAGCCAGCCTGAAGGTGCTCCCATTGCCAAATCTTGGACAAAACAGAGCATCCATATAAATAATGACAGTAATGAATTATAATATACTGAATAAAATAAAAATCCATGAGCCTATGCTGATATAAATATATAAACGAATGAATAAATAAATAAATGGGAGAGAAAGGAAAACTCTTCCGTATAGAATAATGCCAACTAATCAATATAGGAGGAATGATAAATAAGAAAATTACCATTTTGCAACCATGATAACAATAACAGATTCAGCCAAGAATCATCAAAGGATGCAAAAACTACTAGAAAAAAGTTTAATGAGGAACAATATATTTATATAGTGTCAAAGTATATTCCCACAAATTACTTGTTAATTACAAAGAGAAAATAGTAATTTTTCAGGAAGAAACCTGGTAGACACCTTAAAATATTAGTGTTTATTATGACTGTAAATTTTGTTAATAGCATACCAAGATATGTACTATGATTTTATTTCCTTACTTGCTCAGTCTTTTATTTTAGTGTTACTTTCTTTTCTTCTTCCTTATAATTATTCTTATCTTCTTCTGAAAGCTCCATCACATCAAGTATTCTGTCTAATCCCTCCAATCTTTCCTTTTTCCTCTAAGGGACCTTCCTTCTGGAGCCCTTCATGCTCCTGCTTTGATCTGGGCTGGCTACTCTTTAGGCTTGCTGCACAGCTGCCATTTTAGGACTATTTAACTTCTCTCCCAGACCTCCTCCTACGAATTAGAGAACTAATGTAAGCCCGAAGGAGCAGACTAAAGAAACTTTTTTTTTTTTGTGAGGAAGATCAGCCCTGAGCTAACATTCATGCTAATCCTCCTCTTTTTTTTGCTGAGGAAGACCGGCTCTGAGCTAACATCTATTGCCAATCCTCCTCCTTTTTTTCCCCAAAGCCCCAGGAGATAGCTGTACGTTCTAGTTGCTGTATGTGGGACGCCGCCTCAGCATGGCCGGAGAAGCGGTGCGTTGGTGAACGCCTGGGATTCCAACCCCGGCCGCCAGTAGCGGAGCGCACGCACTTAACCACTAAGCCACAGGGCTGGCCCCGGAACATTCTTATGTACCACTAAAAGCAAATTAACAGCAAAAGTCAGGGTGAGAGGGTGAGGAGAGTGAGGTGAGAGTGAGGCAAGAGTTCCTCTTTCCACTTGAAACACTTAAACAAATATTGGATTTTAATGAAAACAGTAGTCTTGAAACATGCACTCAATGTTGAGATACTCAGGAGACAATTTTCAGCTCTCGGCAGAAATATTTATTTCTACTCTATAAAGCAACTTTTTCAAAATAATGCTTATATTTATTCTCAGAAGTTATCTTACCCAAGTAAAATACTCTCATTTAAGAGAGACAAAGGGCAAAGGGCAATAGTTATTCAAACAGCTGTGAATAGTATTAGCGAACTAGCAACTGATGGAAATATGAGCAGCAGTACATGGGATGAGAATGGGCTTACAGGGGCCAGCTCGGTGGCATAGTGGTTAAGTTCATGCGCTCCGCTTCTGGCGGCCATTCGGGGTTCGCAGGTTTGGATCCAGGGTGCAGACTTATGCAGCGCTTATCAAGCCATGCTGTGGCAGGCATCCCACATAAAGTAGAGGAAGATGGGCATGGATGTTAGCCCAGGGCCCATCTTCCTCAGCAAAAAAGAGGATTGGCAAAGGTGTTAGCTCAGGGCTAATCCTCCTCACCAAAAAAAAAAAAAAAAAAAAAAGAATGGGCTTACGTAGGGAGTAATTCTAAATAAAAGGCTGAATAGTTCCCCTATTTCTCTTTAAAATTTTCATGGTTTGTGGACAAAATTTACACACCCATATGTGAAAAATGGGTAATTTTCTCTTCTTGCTTTCATTTTTTATTTCTTCAAAAGTTAAATATGCAAATAGATTAGGGAGACAAATGGTTCTCTATTACATGTTGCAAAAAACCCAGTGCCCCTGCCCCACACCATTCTCCTCTTTCCACTCCTTACACAGGATGTGTCACCCCAGATGACATGGAGTACCATCCTTCATTTCCTCAAATCTATTTGAGTTTTCTACTCCATACCTCTTTCTCCCTAGCTCCTCCTCTGGCCCCTACCCACCTGACACTCTAGGTTTACTCTGAGTGTGGAGTAAGGAAGTGAGGACATCTCATTTACCCTTTGCCCTTCACTTTCTCTCTCTTAGATGACTCTTCTCAGCACCCAAAGGGCTTTCTCTTTCTTGCATTGCAGGAACTTTCCTTACATCAAATCCTTATCCCATACACTCTCTCATTCATTGTAAAAACTCTTTATTGCAGTCTTCTGGGCTTGGTTTGACAAGACTATTTTCTCAACAAATCTTGGCTCCTCCAAAAATCACAAGTGCTTACTTTCAGGCTATTGTCTCAAAACAGACTCTAATAAAATCTATTTTGAAACTCAAAGCTGTTTTCAGTAGGGTTCTGTCATTCCAAAGAGGCAATTATTTCCATTGGTTCAATCAGTGGGGGTAATGATGGGTCCATCAGAACTAGGGATTATTAGGGAGGAAAATCTATTGATTTAATATCCTCCAAAATATTACATCTGAGAATATACTCTAAGAACGTATTTTATGGAGTTTCATTACACAGATGGAAAAATCAATGTTTCCATAAGCAAGGTTGGAAGCAGTGAAACTCATCCTTGGACTGCATCACTAGTGTTCCTTAATATCCACTTCTTCCTTCCCTTGTGGCATACCAAAGACCACCCCTCCCATTCCCAATGCAGTTTGATGGAGCCAAGTGAGAGGTTCTAGTCAGTGAAATGTGAGTGGAAGTGAGAGGGCTGAGGCAGTGAAAAGCTGCTGTGTGATGCTGTAGATTCCCTCTTCTTCTTTGAAAGTGGAGTCTCATGTTGAGATGGCTGAGCTACAAGATCAAAGTAGTCTGGATTACTGAGACATTGCTTGGAGGACAGCTACCTTGGAGAGTTGCCTGTCCCATATTAGACTTTGTGTGAGCAAGGAATAAATGTTTATTATGTTAAGACACTGAAACTTTGAAATTGTTTATTATCAGAGCATGAGCTAGCCTATTCTAATACACCGTCCTTCTTTGGCAACTGGCTTATTGCCTAATTAATGATTACAGTAGAAATCCAATTTTTTTTCACAAGCAGTGAAACTCATTTGAAAATATTTACTGAGTGCTCACTGTGCCAAGTGCCGGAGATATAACAGTATACAAAACAAACACAATTTTTGCCCTTATGGACCTTATATTCTAGTGGGGAAGTCAGATAAAAATTAAATCAACAAACAAAACACTTGCTAGTTAGGATAAGTGTTATGAAGGAAATAAACAATGGCTGAGTTAGACATTAACAAGGTGGGAATCTACTTTAGATGGTATGATGGAGAGGAGACATTTCAACTGAGATATGAAGAAAAGGGGAAAGTATTCTAGGTCATATGAAGAAAGAAAGATCTCAGCGAGTTTGAGAAACTGAAATAAGACCAATGTGACTGGGCAGTAATGAATAAGGAACAAGTGGCAAAATATGAAGTTGAGACATGCAGAGAGAGATACTGCTATAGTAAGGAGTTTGGATTTTATTCTAAGTTCCACCAGATGGGATCACCTTAATCTTCCCTTGATCAATGCCACACAGTTACTCACATCTATGTTCATTTCCTATTTCCTTCCATCTGCCTCAACAAATGACATATCCTTCATCTTTCTGAGAGTTAATCCCTCCCCTTGTACCTTTCCTGCTCAGTTACCCTTTCCTCTCCTCTTTTCATGCACTTTGCTCTTTTGGTTATCCTTAGCTCTTCTGAATCTTCATTTTCTTCCCAGGAGGTTAGTCTTGTCAACCAACCTGTGAGATACTCTATTACCTTCTATCTAAAAAACACTTAATCTGATCCTATATTTCCTGATAGCTTCTGACATATTTCTATTTATTTGTGTTCCTTTGTAGTCCTAGTGGCTTAAAAATAATGTTTATGCTGCCTGTTGATTCCCAAACAAGACCTCTTCTTGGAGCTCTAATCTCATATACCCAATTGTCAATTTAATGACTCCACTTGAATGCTTGGGTATAAACACTCTCCCTCCCCTGCCCCCATCAGTGGATTATCCATCAGTTTTCCTTATATCAGTAAATGATTCCAGTTACCATTCAGATGTTCAGGCCCCCAAACTGGGAGCCATCTTGATCACTTCCTTTTCTTTACTTTCCTTTCCTGTTATCAGTAAATTCAATTTTTAACTCAGAAATACATCAACTTGACTCACTCCTGCTAACATTAGCTTTCGTGATCTCTTGCCTGGATTTCTGAAATGGTCTCATGATTTGCCTCCCTGCTTCCATCTTGTCTTTCCCTAATGCCATTTCCTACACAGCAGCCAGAGTAACTATTTTATTTATTTTAACTTAGAATATTTTAATTAAAATAAAATTTAAAAACTGGTAAAATAAACTTTTATAACAAAATCAGCATATATGCTGTAAAAACATACAAAAAAGACACACAAAAATAAAAAAATAAAAATATACATTTCTACTTCTAAAGATTACAACTGCTAACACTAAGGGTGTAATCCTTCCAGATCTTTTTTGTAGTACATGAATACACATATGTGCATTTTGTAACCAAAGTGAGATATCACAACATACATACTGTTCTGTGACTTGCTCTTTTCAGTTAATAATCTCCACCTTTCCATGGCAATACTTTTCCATCTTATACTCAGTCCATCTATATTCAAATTTCTTCAGTTCTCCTGAAAATGCATTTTATAGGTGGTCTGTTCAAACCAGGATTCAGTGCAGGCTCTTAAGTCCTTTAAATGTCTTTTCACAGAGCAGTGGCTTTTTTCATAACAATAAATTGTTGACCAGAGGGGGTCAGTTATCCTGCAGAATGTTCCACCTTCTGGATGTTTGGTTACTTCCTATGGTATCATTTAGTTGTTCCTCTATCCTCTGGATTTCTTATATGTTGTGTGTTAAATGAAAAGGTTTGATAGATTCAAGTTAAACATTCTTGCCTGGAACATCTCATAGATGATATTGTATACTTCATACCACATCCCATCAAGAGACACAATATCAGATTGATGCACAGGGTGGCCTTTTTAAAATGTAAATTGTATCATGTCACTATTGTTTAAACGCTATTTATAGCTTCCTTTGCATTTATTCTACAATACAAATTCTTTAACTTGGCCTACAAGGTTTTGAATGATTTGATGCCTGCCTGCTTACTCTTCCAACTTTATCTCATTCTAGTCTCTACTTTTTTTTTTTTTTGTGAGGAAGATCAGCCCTGAGCTAACATCTACGCTAATTCTCCTCTTTTTGCTGAGGAAGACTGGCTCTGAGCTAACATCTATTGCCTATCCTCCTCCTTTTTTTCTCCCCAAAGCCCCAGTAGATAGTTGTATGTCATAGTTGCACAACCTTCTATTTACTGTATGTGCGACACCTCCCCAGCATGGCCGGAGAAGCGGTGCGTGGGCTCGGATCCGAACCCAGCCACCAGTAGCGGGGGGCGCACGCACTTAACCGCTAAGCCACGGGGCAGCCCCTCTACTTTTTCTATATTTCATTCCATTCTCTACTTTTTAAGAGTAGAGAAAACTCTTTTTAAGTTTTTGCCACACGGTTTGCTTCAACTCCCTGAATATGGGAAGTACTTGCCTCCTAGGAACTTTGCACTCACTGCTCCTTGGTCAGGGAGGCTCTCCCTTGCCACTACTTCTTTGCCACTCTTCTCCTCCAATGTCAAGCATCTTCTCAAACTGCAGGTTATTTTAAGTTCACCTTCTCAGAGAAGCCTTCTTTAATTATCTTGTTGAAACTAGGTTCTTCAATGGACCCTAATATGCTATATCCCAAGCACCATGTTTCTTGTACTATGATACTTGTTTGTCCACCTTAGTATCTGTGTCCTTACCTGACTGTAAACTTCACAATGGCAGGGACCTTGCCTACCAGGCTCACCGTGCACTCAGTACTTGTACACAGCGCGTTGAATGAACTACAATGGGTCACAATAACCCTTAGGCTGCTAGGTCTTAGGTCGCCGCAAACTCTCGAAGGTGGCAATACCGGAAGTCCTTCACTGAGAAGTTGTTTGAGTGGAGGGTTACTTTTACGTGAAAGCGCTCTGTCTACCCGCCGCGGCAGTAAAGACGAAGAGAACACCACATGCACAGACAACTAGGACCTTATCACGCAGCCCAGGCGGAGCTGGGCCCAGGTGAGAAGCGCAGCCGCCCCAACTCCCTCACGTGACCGCGGGCTGCGCCTGCGCAGGAGCTCCCGGAAGTGGCCGGACCCGAAGCGCAGGCCCAGCGCTCGTCCGTCAGCCCGTCGGTCCGCCCGTCCGCCAGCTCGGTAGCCCGCGCGCCTCGGTCCTCGTCGCTGTGCCGCGGTCTGTGTGGCCCGAACGGTCCTCGTCGCTGTGCCGCGGTCTGTGTGGCCCGAACGGCTGCCGAGGTGCTCGCCATGGCGACGTTCATCTCGGTACAGCTGAAAAAGACCTCGGAGGTGGACCTGGCCAAGCCGCTGGTGAAGTTCATCCAGCAGACGTACCCGAGTGGCGGGGAGGAGCAGGCCCAGTACTGCCGCGCGGCGGAGGAGCTCAGCAAGCTGCGCCGCGCCGCTCTCGGCCGCCCGCTGGACAAGCACGAGGGCGCGCTCGAGACGCTCCTGAGGTGGGCCTGGGGCCGGGCGCGGGAGGTTGTCTGCAGTGCAGCCTGCCGCCCTCCTTCCCTCCTCCGCCTTTACTTCCTCTCTCTCTCCCACCCACGGCCCAGGCCCGGCCGCCTCGCCCTGGCTTGGCCGGGCGCGTAGGTGTGGTCTGCATTCCTTCTTAGTGAGCAGAGCGGCCCGCAGGCCGCCGCTCACCCTGCCCGTTTGTGCTGCTGGTCAGCCGGGGCTTGGTCGGTCGGGTGCCTGGGAGGAACGGTCTGCCACGTACCGCTCTGTCTTGCCACATTTACCTAGAACTAGTTTTTTTTTCAGTTTTTGGGGGTCTCTAACTGAGACTCTCGTTTCCCTCCGTTTTTGCATCACTGCAAAACTTTTTGGCCGGATTTGGATTTCATAATAGTAGTTGCTTGAGGGAAGTGGGAGAATTGAGACACTGAAACACATGTCTATTACTTATTACATTGTCCACTTGAAATTAGCCGTCTTTCTAAGTTCATCATAATCAAATGACAGATGGAGAATTCCAAAGGTTAGGAACTACAGTTGTTTGAAATCAAACTTGAGTGACATAATGGGTTCAAGATAGGTTGCGTAAAATGAGTTTGTTCACAAGCAGGTATGCGCTTAATGGAGTAAATTTGTTGTCTTAGCAAATGCTTAGTGAGCTCATGCTTTATTTAATGAGAGTTCCTTTTGTGGTATTTTTCCAGTTAGGATGGCAGAACGTTTTTACAGCATTTTATAGTTAAATAGTTAAAATTTCTTCGCCTACGTTGTTAATGATCTCATTTCCTATGTATATCATATTCTTGTTTCACAGGAGAAACACAGCTGTGTTAGGATGCAGGCAGGAGAAGCCCAGGTTAAACTAGCTTATTTGTTCTGATAACTGAAAAGTCGAGGAATGGTTTCCTTAGCTTTAGGCATCACTGGAGATCAACTTGCCTCCATGATGATTCCCTCTTAGGCGAGCTTTGTTTCTGTATTGGGAGAGATGCCCCTAATACTCAGGATCTTCATCAGAGAGTGCTTTTTTCCTTAGCTCTGGTGAAAGTCCATGGGAGGCCTCTGTTTGGGTTGGCTTGTGCCCATTTATGATGATGGGAAATGGGCCAGTTTATTTGCCTTGGTCTGAGTCACTCTGCTGGTTTAACTTCTCCATCTTCCATGGATCAAAGCAATATTAGTATGGACTGGGGAAGGGCTGGTTCCCCAAAAGGAGGATACTGAATAGATTTCTTAGAGAGATTATGACCCCTTAGTGTCAGTTTTAAAGATAAGACTGTTGGGTTGCAAAGATCGTTAGTTTGATACTTATATAAGAATTTTTTAAGGTAACCTAGGAATACTTAGACATTCTTTAGAATCGACATACTTTGAAAAAATCTCCAATGCATTTTTTTGTGTAGACATGAGTAGCACTGAGTGAGGATTTTCCATTAGTAGCATTAAGGAAGCATGGGTGTGGTATAATGAACAGCATGATAACAATCTTGTTGAATAGGTTAGGTGTGGTCCCAACCCTTAAGGAGCTTGGAGTCTTCAGAGAAAATTGGTGCATAGATTTAAGACTAATGGACAAGAGGGAATACTAGTTCTGATAAGGTTCTGCTGTGAACTTTAAAACTTCATTCATTTGTTCATTCCTTTATTATTTTCCCAGGCGTAAATATGAGAACTGTTCGTAGGTACTAGGGCTGTTGCAGATGGTCTCTTTGAAGCTAACCATATTTCTTTAGTCACTTCTATATTATCCTCTCCTAGTACATTCATTCAACAACTACATTTTTTTTCACTTTTTGCTCTTCTAGTGGGGTTAGGATGAGCTGATAGTCTATTAAATTTTATAATGGAGGTGTGTACACAAGTTCCTTGGGTATATATGCTGTAAAAATCAAACAGTTGTGAGATGTTTATTCAGTCAAGCAGAATATCTTTTAATAATTATGTTTGAATAGTGTAAACTGAACATTAACTTACATATTTTTAACTTGAACTTTTAGATAAAATTTTCGAAAAAAAGAGATTAAGCTAATTCCTAAAGAATAGAAGCTAGCTTGATAAGTGGTGGTACACAGCTTCATGTATAGGTCCAGTGATGGACTTGACTTTTTATTATTAACTTGTAGATGGTCTATTAAAATTTCCTAAAGTGCACATTTATGTGTATGATATTGAGAGTGAATGTCATCCTTTACAAAGTGGCTTTAACTAAAAATTGATTAGAAGAGTCTTGGTAAATGGTGAACTTTATTCTGGGGTGATCAGATGGGAATGCTGCTGGTTTTTTGGGGGGAAAACGCCAGATGTCAGTATCTGTCCTTTCTGGTGATAAGTTTCTTTAGAGAGAAGGCTTCCAGTCTCCTTCCATGAAAAAGCCTGGTTGTCAGCTTTCTGAAATTTCATCAGGGGAGTGGAGATTGAGGACCCACACAGTCGTGTATGCAGTCTTTTATATCATCTCTTTTTAGTGTGGCACCTGAATTAGAGTTGGGTTCAGCTGAATGCGGTAGATCTCAAATTATCAGTGAGTTAAATTATGATTTTATTCCTGTGTAAAAAGTTGGTAGATAGGTCGTTCTGGTAGTCTAGGGCTGGTGTAGTGGTTCTGTGAAGTTCGTTGGGCTCAGGCTCCTTCCGGCTATCTGCTCTGTAAAACTTCCAGTCTTTGTTCTCCAGGCCCATTTAGCAGTCCTACCCAAGTTTCAGACAGTATGGTGGAGGAAGGGAGAAAGGAGGCAGGAGGCTCAGCCTCCAATGTTTCCTGGAAACTGCCCCACAGCAACCTGCTCCTATGTTATTGGTCATTATGTATGTCCACGTCTCATAGAAGGGTGGATAGGAAAAGGTATTTTTATTAAAGGCAGCAATATAACCAGCTAAAATCTGGGGTTCTATTAGAAGGAGAGATAATGATATAGGCAATTAGCACTCCCAACCATAGCTTCTCAGTCCCCATCCTCCCGACTCAGGGGAGGATGAGCTTGAGCTCCACCTTAGCTGTGCTAGATATCTCTGACATTTTCCTGAGAGTAAACCTACCCTCAGAGTAGAGGATCTGGGAGCCTAAAGGTTTCTTTCAAAGATTTTCATCCATACCTTCTCTTCTCAGCCTCATCTTGAACTCTGGTCTTCAGTGGTGTCTCATGCTTCTTAATTCAGATCCCTTCTGGCTTCTCTGGCATGATTTGGCTTGCACTTTGTTAGTTCCCTTCCCTGTAGGCAGTTAGATTTTCAGCTTTCTCTGTTTCATTCATTCAGTTTTCACCTTTTAGAAAATTTCACTGAAACCTCTTGTAAGCTGTTGAGCCCTTTTCCATTTTCTTTGTCCTTGCGCATTTACATCTTTTTAATTTTTTATTCCTTTTTTAGTGGAATTTTGGGAGGGAGCGGGGAAGGGTGTTTATTCAGATCTCTTTGTTTAACTGGAAAAGGGTATCTGCATTTTCACCTCTCCACAGTGGTGGTATCAGTTTTCATTTCCATCAGCAGGTATATGTGAATTTTTTATTCCTACACATCCTTGCTAATACTCTCTGATTAATAATTTAAATTATTGCTTTTTGCTAGTCTGATGGATGAGAGATGGTATCTTGTTTTAGCTTGCATTGACCTGATTTCTCTGAGGTCGGGCATCTAATGTTTACTGGTTACTTAGTTTCTTTTTCTGTTAATTGCCTGTTCTTTTTTTTAGCCCATTTTCTAGGTTGCTTGTTTTCTCCTTACTGATTTTTGGGAGTTATTTACATTTTCTGACGATTTATCCTTTTTCCATTATTTATATTGCCAATATCTTCAAATCTATTTCTTGTTTCTTAGTTGTATTTATGGTATCTTTTGTCACACAGAAGTCTTTGCAAAATGTTGTAGTCTCCTCATAATCTGTAGTTACAGTTTTTTTCTTATTCCTAATGTTGTGCATGTGTTATGTATGATTTTCCCACTTGATCAGATTTCCTAAAGGTTTGGAGCCACCTTTTTTTTTTTTTT